TCTTCGCAGAAGGATTCCTATTGAAACCCTCAGCAACAAGGATTCTTTTTGAAATCTACCACGAAGGATTGCCCCCACAGACATTGCATCGGCGGCATCGGATTTGGGATCGCATTGGCATTGGCATTTGATTCCCAGTCACGATTCTGGATTCAGATTTCCGGATTCCGGATTCTCTACGGATGAACCATTCCCAAGGAGGCGTTATCAAGGAATATGTACAATTGATTCTTGGCCAGGGTTTGTTACTTCAGGATCCCTTCTCAATGGCCCCTTCCTAGTGTTCCTTCTTGCGGATACCTCATTAAGGATTCTTTCCACGGGTTCTTGATAAAGGAGTCCTGATCCAACGGTAAAGCAATTATCATAGTATGGACCCTCCCTCCAGATTCCTTATGAAGGAGTCCTTGCCACGGATTCATGAATTCATGACTAAGGGTCCCTCGCCTTGGACTCCTTCTTCCGGACTCCTGCAGAAGGTTTGCCTCCGCTAGCGTGCGTTAGTAAGTGTTATTGAGGCAGGATGCCTTATTGAGGATCCCTTGCTCTGCATTCTCTTATAGCGTCATCCTGATTGAGGAGTTCTTACGAAGGATTCCTTGTTACGGGTTCCTAACTCAGGTTTCCTTGTGGAGGATTTCCCATTCAGGATTCCCGACCAAGAGCTCTTCACTAATGATTCATTACCAAGGCGTCCTTACTACGGAGGCGCTACGAAGGACTTGTTACTAACATTTATTTGGCAGGATTCTTTAGGAAGAACACCTTACTCAGGATTCCCTACGAACGATTCCTTACCAAGGATTTTTCTCAGGAAACCCTATCACGGATACCGTACGAAGGATTCCATAGTAAGGTAAGCGTACTAAAAGGGTTCCCGACTAAACGTTTCGTAAGTAATATTCTTTCAAAGGGTTTCTTCAGGATTCGTTACCAAGGGTTTTTTCATGTGGATCTGCATGACATGACATGTTCCTTCATACGGTTTTCCTCGTAAGGAAACCGTACTAAGATTTCCGTACTCGGGAACCCCCCTTTACACGGAGGTCATGATTTAAGAAGTCCGTATCACGGATTGCTTATTACGGATCTCTTTTTAAGGGTTGCCACAGTGTTTTTTTCATGAAGACTTTGTTGGAGCATTCCTTGTTAAGGATTCGTTATTAAGGGTTGTTGTTCAAGATTTCGTTCTGAAGTCGTACGACTTTTACTTATGATCCTCGGTCAGCGACTCTTTTCTAAGGAGGCGGTACGAAGACATTCTTGCCACGGATATTTTCGTCAAGATTTCGTTTCTCAGGAGTCGCCTGTCAGGATTGATTCCTTTCTAAGGACTGTTCAGGATTCGTGGTTCAGTATTCATTAGTACGGATGTCGTACGAAGGATCCCCTAGTACGGAAACAGTCCAATGGTCTTTTCATGACCCCTTGCTGCAGAGTCATTACTAAGGATTCCTTACTAAAGGATGCCTTATCAAGGGCTCCGTAGTACGGATGTACCATATCGAAATCCTTCGTAAGGATCCCCTAGTAATGGGACCGTACTAAGGGCTTCTTAGTAGGGACTCCTTCTAAGGATTCCTTACGAAGGATACTTTATTGATGATTCCTTACTGAGGGTTTCTTACTAAAATGATTCCTCGTATGATTCCTTACGAAGAACTTCCCAGGAAGGATTCCGCGCTCAGAACTTTTTATTATGGACTCTCTATTGAGGCGGCTTTATCAAGAAGGCGCTAGTCAGGGACCCTCCCGCAGGATTCCGCAGCATTTTTGGGATTCGCAAGGAGTCGTCTGGATTCGGGAGGATCCCATGGGATTCGCAGATGTTTCTATGGGGGAACTTCGCTGGTAGACATACTTGTCAGCGAGGGAGTATCCATGGACACCCCTACGGGATTCCTTGGAATACCTGGTGGGAATGCTGCAGCCTGGTTGCTGGGGTTGCCTGGGTTGCCAGGGCGGCTGCCACGTTTGCCCCAGGGCTTCCAAGTACGCCTCAACCCCAGGGGACCGTTCTAACCCTACAGCCCCTCCCGGGTGCTTTCAAGTACGCCTCATCCTTGCCGTCGTCGTCGTTGTTGTTGTCGTCGTCGTTGTCGTCGTTGTCGTTGTCGTTGTCGTTGTCGTTGTTGATGTTGTTGTTGTTGTTGTTGTTGTTGTTGTTGTTGTTGTTGTTGTTGTTGTTGTTGTTGTTGTTGTTGTTGTTGTTGTTGTTGTTGTTGAACATTATTACTTCTAAAGAATAATTATTGTTGGGGCCCCTGGTGCACGACCCCCTCGCCGCGCCTAGGCCGCAGCCATGTTTTCATCATTTTCGTGAGGAAGTCTCTGGCAAAACGGGTTGGTCCGGATCCGGTTGTTTTGTTACGGGCGGTTTTCCCTTGCAAAAAATAAGGCAAAGTGGACATTTCTTGTTCTAACATAACCAAACTTCAAGAATCCCTTGCAAAAATAAGGTAAAGTGGACATTCGCGCGCGCAAGACGAAATCCTTCCAAAACCTTAGTGTTCGTAGCGATTTTAACATAAACACATCAAAAAACCAATGGTTTTTCAAAAAAAAAGTGTCAACATTTCATTCCGCGCGCTCTTGCGGATTTGTAGGAAACCCAGCACTTTTTAAACATTTCTGTCAAACGGGCTTTTGCGAGCAACTTTTTCACATGCTTCGAACTTCTCTATTCACGTGCTTCGAACCGCGGTTTACCGTGGTTTCCTATTCTAGCGTCAGGAACACGTTACCACCAAAAACCAGTACAGGTGTCCAGTGTTGGAACAGGGGGAAAAGTCGTATACTAAGCTAGCGTCCAGAAAATGTTACCACAACAAGTCACTGTACCCATGCGCCAGTGTAGTAGCCACGGTCGTCCGCAGGCCACGAAGTGAAGTGTCCGAACGTCATAGGGCGGGAAGCTGGGTGTGGGTGGTGGCGAAGAGTCGTTTGGAAATGTGGTAGAGCTTGAACCGGCCCCCCCACAAAGTGGGGGTATTGGCGGGCGTCGTATGAAAACCCTGGCACTGGTGAGAACGGAGTGTCCCCACGTGCTAGTAATTGTTGTTGTTGTTGTTGTTGTTGTGGTTGTGGTTTTGGTTGTGGCTTTTGTTGTTGTTGTTGCTGTTGTGGTTGTTGTTGTTGTTGTTGGTGTCGTATTATGCTGCTGCTGCTGATGATTACGCTGATGACGATGCTAGTGGTGGTGGTGGTGGTCATCCTGACGAGAATGAGAACGGGTATGCTGAAAGTGTTGATGATGATGACGATGACGACGATGACGATGACGACGACGATGATGCTGCTGATGATGATGATTATGCTGATACTGATGATGATGATGATGCGGCTGATGATGATGGTGCTGATGCAGATGCGGATGTGGATGCTGATGCTGCTACTGCTGCTGCTGATGATGAAGGTGACGCTGATGCTGAGGAGGAGGAAGAGGAGGAGGAGGAGGAGGAGAAAACGGACCTCGAAGACAACAAGCACATCTCAACACAGGACGTGGAGCACGTAGCGGTGAGTAGGAGGTGGGAGGGAATGGAGGGAAGGAGGAGGGGAGAGTAGAGGAGGGGCCAGCGGGGTAAGAAGGACTGGATAATGCAGGGTGAGGGATGGACTACAGGATGAAGGGCGTGGAAGGGACGGAAGGGGAGATCGTATGTTGAAGCTGGTGGAGGTAGGCGGAGGGAGGGGACGGTAAGTGTGGAGAGGTGGGAGGAACGGATGGGTGGAGGGAGAATGGGGCAGGCCAGAGGTAGGACGAGGAGAAGCGAGGAGGGGGAGGAGGAGGAGGAGGAGGAGGAGGAGGAGGAGGAGGAGGAGGAGGAGGAGGAGGAAGAGGAGGAGGAGGAGGACGACGAGGAGGAGGAGGAGGACGAGGGAGGAAGGCAGGGAGGGGGGGATGTGAGCTGATTCTGATGATTGTGGTGACGGTGATGGTAGTGGTGAGCAGGACGAGGAGTGGGAGGAGGGGATGAGGAGCGGGAAGGAGGGCGAGGATGATGATGAGGAGAGCGAGCCGGAGGGGTACAAGGCGGGGAGGGAGGGTGACAGACCAGTGAGGAGGAGACGGACGAGGAGCGGAGAGAAGGATGGATGGGGGCGAGGAAGCGAGTGAGGATGAGGAAGAGTTGTGTAGGATGATCAATGGAGAGAAAGCATGCTGCCAAATAATTTCCAGATGACTAACACATGTGTTAAGACTGTCTTAGACATATAAAAAACATGCTCAAACATGTTGAGAACACTTCCCGACATTTTCAGCACATTTTAAGTTCAATGATAGGACTGTTAGGTTGTCCACTGTCATGGCATCCACAAAGGAAGAGGGGAGGGCGACGGGGGTGATCTGGAGGATACGACTCTGCCTGGCGGACGCTGCGCTCCAATGGGCGCCCGGCGTGCGCAGACGGAGGGGCGGCCTCGTGAGGCCCCCCCCCACGTCGAAAGACGCGCCACCCACCCACACGTGGCATCACGGGCGGGCGGGGCGCGACGCAGGAAGCAAGAGCGGGGCGGCCTCTTCCACGGAGGACATTGAGCTAAGCCGCCTGCTGGCCCATCGGAACGCGGGCATTTTTTGGTTTTCTTTGAAGTTCTATATATATATATATATAGCATGTCTTAGCCATCATGTTTGTATACACATTCTATGTATTTGCGCACAGCCGGCGGCATGGCAACACGGGTTGAGAGGAGGCGGCCCCCCTCGTTGCTCTTGCTCCTCTCCACTGACCGATCTTTCAACGCCGCAGGGCTGTCTGATGGTGATGTGCCCGCTCGTAGACCCCGATGTTTGGCCAGTGATCCTCCTCCCCCCCCCCTGCCGACACCGTCGCGTCGTTACCGGTGCCGATCTCAGGCCAGCGCTGATCGTATTCTTCTTGTGTCGGCTGATCTGCGCGCCAGCCCTCGCGGGCGACGCCCCGACGCCGCGCGCGCCCCGAGGGCGAGCCGCTCCGCGACGCGCTCTGCGTTGCCCGCCCCCCCGCCGCGAGGCGGAGGAGGCGGAGAAGAAGGACGGCGAGGAGGGCGCGGAGGAGCCGCGGCCTCCCCGCCCCGCCCGGCCGCCGCCCGCCCGCCCGCCCCGCCGCTCCGCCGTCGGGGTCCCTATGAGAGGAAGGCCGTCTGAGACGCCGGTATCCAGTCGGTCCTGTCCCTCTCACGAGAGGAATATTCCCAAGTAGTCATACATATTTTTGGGACGATTTCTTGACTGTTTTCGGCTCTTGTTGATTCGTTTTTGGCTCGTTTTAGTTTTTGCATCCAAAACCCGCATGTGGGAGGACATGCCCGACCTAACACTGGTAGTTGGCCTTCGGGGGGCCCCCTCGTCGCCACTGCTGCACGCAGCGCGAAAAACTTCTGCGTTTGGACCCCGGGAGGGGTCCAGGAGCCGATTTTGAACCTCCAATGTCTCAGACCGCCCTGCTCCGACCCAAGGGCTGGTCGGCCTGCAGCCACCTGGGCTCCGAGATCGTTGGATCATCGAAGAAGAGCAACTTGGCGTCGCTCGGGCGTGTGGATTTCTTCTCGGAGCCTCCCGGGTCACCTTTTGGAAAAAACACACGAAGTCGAACAATGCGCGAGGAATGGACGTCCGAGCGATGGCAGAACAAACACGGCACGAACATTAACTCTCGAAGGTCCGTGCGGGTTTCTCGGCTC